TCTTTTTTTAAAAAAAGATTTTTATTAACAAACATGGAAAATACACACACACAAAATTTAGACATACACCACATTTACACAATACAATATGAAAAGGAGCTTCCTGTTCTTTATAATAGCAATTATCATTTGTTCTTTCACAATTTCTTCTTCCATTTTGTACTTCAGGAGGAATTTATATATTCTCCCTATCATCTTTCTATCTGAGCTTTGAATAATTTTATCCAATTCGTGTGGTTCTGTTTCGATGTCATACAATTTAGTATCTTTATCGGGGAAATAATATAAGGTGAGCAGTATTGATTGATAATTGCTATTATAAAGAACAGGAAGTTCCTGTTCATATTGTATTGTGTAAATGTGGTATACGTCTAAATTTTGTGTGTGTGTATTTTCCATGTTTGTTAATAAAAATCTTTTTTTAAAAAAAGAAAGAAAAATTAAATATTATTTTCCAAAACCTGTTGCTCTAAATACTGCTGTACACAAACTGGTTTTGTTTTATGGCTGAAGTGCATTTAAAAAACCATAGTTGATTCAGTGTGGTTTGTTATGTATGCTCAATGTTAAACATAGTGAATCTTATTTCTATTGTTTATAAGCTACTTGGGGAGGACTGTTATCAATTGTGTGTTGGAGCCGATTCATACCACCTTGTGAGAGCCAATCTTACATTTTCAAGAAATTTGTGAACCAATTTAGAACAGAGCTGACCCCCAATCAATGTAAATGAGTATTAGCTTTTAACTGTTTCCCTGACATTATGACAGTAGAAAAACCTGTTCACTCTCTTGGGCCTTGTATTTTTATAATAGATATCCCATCCATTCACCCATTAGTCCCTTTGTTGGGGAACTCCCCTTTCAAACCTTTTAAATTATCATACTGCATAACACAGTCCATTCTCATGCTACTCAGCAATATATTGGAGACCCATTTCTCTCTATGGAACAGAATTGGTTATCACTCTTGTAAATGCAATGTACCGTACTATATCTTCTGTTTGTATTCAAACTCTCTGAAAGATCAGTAGGTATTTTACGTTCTCTTCTGAAATTTTCATATCTACGTCTTGTGAAATTAACTGCAACATTGTGTTCAGAACAATGATAAAATCCAAGTTCTCACCCACTTTTTACTCCTCAAAAGCTATGGGGGTGCTTTCATAATATGCCCTTGGGATGCTTTTGCAATAATGGCCCAAACATGGTGCAGAAAAATATTGAGTATCTCAGTGGTATCCCAAATGTTCATTAACAACATCCGCTTCTAATTTCAGCAGTATAATTGGCTAGATGGAACGGGGGCGGGTGGGGAATTATGATATTGCTTTGTTTTGAGCTCATTGTGAAGTTTCTGCTATTATGGTGTAATAACAACACTGTCTAATTGCTGCAACTTTTTTTCCTATGATAACTTCTTATACAATATTTTAAATGAAAGAGATTATTGACTGAAAACTGATGGAAGTAAAGCAAAAACCAGTTTATATATGTAAGTTAGGACAAAGAACTTTGATTCACATCACAATGCATACCTCATAAAGATCAATAATCTGTTGCGGGGTACACCCTCTAATTTTTATTATTTTACTATTTTGAAGGTTTTTTAATTCCAGTGGTGGGCTGGGCTGGGGACTCTGGGCAAAAGCCTTTAGAGGAATATTATGTCCTACAAAATTCATTTTATGTACTTATATTTGTATTCTACAATGTATTATTTGTATTTTGTAATAAAATTATTAATTTGGAGAAAAAAAATCATTTACAACACATTCACAATCTAAAATAATTTACAGTGAAAATACAGAAGGAGAAGTCCTAATCTGGGATGCTAAATATTTTCATACAAGAGATTAGGGATCTGGAGGAGAAAGGTATATCTAGTCTAGCAAAGAGAGGACTAAGAGTGACATGATAGCAGCCTTCCAATACTTGAGAGGCTGTCATAGAGAAGAAGGCTCAATCTATTATCCAAACAGTGACGTGCGGTCAGCTTTAGGGCTGGTGAGGCACTTTTTAGACTTGTGGACTTCAACTCCCAGAATTCCACAGCCAGGCATGCTCAGTTCTGATTTAAAGCGACAGAAATTTTTCCCCCTTGAAAAATAAGTTTTCCCATTCTTTTTCTTCGCCCTTCCTCTCCTTCCTCCCTCTCTCCCTCCCTCTCTCCCAAACAAACACAGAAGTTGGATTGGATATATTAGTTTG